TGACCAATGACATATTGCCTATGATATTATTATCAAAGCCAGGCCATTTATTGCAATCTTCGTTTACTCTCGGTTTAGAGCCGTGTTAATAAAGCGGATGCATGCAGCATGCATGATGTGTTTATATGTCCTTAACCACCATACATATAGTTTGTCCGTGGAGAGATTTACAACATCTATAACGTTGTTGCAAATAAACACGCGCTGAATATTTTGATGGGTATAGTTGCAGATGATGCATTGATTAATTTGACATAACGATGATAATTTGCACTAATAACTGAAGGCTTTCTAACGAATAAACCCGAATTTTGATACAAAATGCAAATGTACCTATATATGTATATAAGGTATAAAATAATGTGATTTAGGTAGTTTAGCTAATAAATTTAGTTAAACATTCAAATGAAGGTATAGCTATTTATATGTAGCCTACACGCATACTTGCGCCAACACATGTTACGTGTTTGAAAATATTTCCTATTAGTCAATAATATCTTGCGTCAATCATACGCGCAACAGGCGTTCAGACTAATTCGTTAAAACCGTTCATAAACATAAATCGTTCAAACGGCTTCAGATTGAACGTTTATTTATCCGTTCGTATTTTCGACTTTAAACGTTCACATTTTTAGCTGAATTCGTCAAAACGTTTTTTGGGTTCGTTGAAACGTTATGACAGATCGTTCACTACCCGTTCGTTATCCGTTCGTTTAGCCGTTTCAACGAAATATCGTTAACGTACGTTTTCCCGTGGAAGGTCACATATATACCTTATATAGTGGACGTAATGTAATGTTGTTCATCTTGGCACGCCATAATATCCGGCGTAGTGTTTAGCTCTGTGCGGTTTTATGACTCATGAACTTGCTTTTTAATCGTCTGCCTGAACTGACCTATCGCAATTAATTTGATTGTCTTCGTTATGCTGATTACTCCGGCGCCAGCGACGGGATTCAAAATTCGCCCTGGTTTTTTTGGGATGTTTTTTTTTCGTCGTCGCAAGTCTGTAATGGCGCGAAATATATTAGTATTTGAAACGTGTATGTGACCGAATTTATCTACGTCCCAGTCTTATCTCCCAAGAGTTGTGGTGCACAGATGCGCGATTGTTTATGTTCAGAAGCTCTATATTGAAGACTGGCACGTGCGCCGGAGTTAACGCCAGGCAGGCGTCTTGTTTTAGTCTTAATTATATAATTTAATTATTTTGACGTGTTCGTTGGTTTGATAGTGTTTGTTAGGTCAAATTTAAAGGTGGTGAGATTGAGCTCCACACAATCAGCTTTTAAGTCATAATATCAGTTTTTTTGTTCTCCTAAATAAGTATTTTATATAAAAATTGCAGGAAAGAAAATCAACACAATCATGAAATACGGTTAATTTGCAGACACGGTTTGAAGTACTTTCTACGTGCCCGTTAATTAATAAACGAGTGCATTGTGTTTTCTTTTAGGTTGCAAAAAGGATATTCTCGTTCTCTGGGACAATTTCAACTTCGTTGGCCTCAATCTGCATGTGAAAACATTTCTGAAGAACTTTATTAAAAATGAAAAACTTGGAGTGGAGGAAAAAGGCACTCATCTTGGTTTCATCAGCTTCTTACATGACAGAACAAGAGAGCTATTGAAAGTTGGACAAATTAGGAATAAAATAGAGTTATTAAAGTGGATGGATAGTATTCATGTTGGCAATGACTCAAATAGTCATAGGAACGCGACTTTCACAGAAAGAGCCTCTGAGCTTGCAAACAGTGTAAGTGTAAAAAAATGTTGCTCATTATTCTATATAGGTTGAAATCCCGAGCGTGAATATGTCCTCAGTATACTGAGGGAGAATAAATATCCACGAAACTTTTTAAATAGTTATCTAAAATCTTCTGTCCAGACTAGATACAATTCTTCAGAGGGCGATTATAAAGGTTGCTTTAAACCCTTTCCAACACTGGGACATATTTTCGTGAAACCCAAGGATCGCGTAGCGACTAAACAGAAAACTCATGCTGCATACTCTATACCATGTGGTGATTGCGAGAAAGAATATCTAGGTGAAACAAAACGCCAGTTTGGCACACGTTTAAAAGAACATCAAAACGCCGTTTTGAACTTAGACAGATCACAATCAGCCTTGGCGAAACACGTGTCTTAAACCAACCATAACATGGAACGATTCAAAAGTCATTACCGCTAATGATCGTTATTGACAAAGGCGTTGTTTGGAGCCTGGCATATTAATGCGAGTCTTTGTGCTCTAAATAGGGATGACGGATGCTATTTGTTAAAAGAATATTAATTTTACATCTAATTGATAGATGACGTCATTTTGATAAGGAACTGAGTTTCAACATCAGATCACCTCTGATGAAGACACTAGACCGGAGTGTCTGATTTCTTTAATTTATTAAAACCAGAGTAGCGATGATTATGATGGATCACTATTCCTTTTAGACAATTGATTTTTATTTATCATGAATCAAACAAGAGTTTAAGAGTTCTTTCCCAATACCTGGTAACAGATTAAGTAGATTTTTCGTTTAATCTCTTTTTCATATGTAATTCGTAACGTCCATGAGAATTTTCTTAAATTCACTATTATCATTTATATTACATTTGCTCCTTAGCCGCTTTTTTCTAAGGTAATATAGCAATAATATATCTATGTAGGCATTCAAGTTCTAATATAAAAATACAGTTGATATTCTTGGAAATAAATGTGTTTTTGGCCCGACTCCGAACCAGAGGTGGATCCAGCACTAGTCCGTTATAATTTGCATTATTCTTGGCAGTTTTCTTGTGTCATGCAAATTAGTGCACTATAGTGCTGAATCCACCCCTGCTCTGAGCTCTGAGAAGGCCCAAAAACACATTTATGCCCATGAACATCAACTGTAATACTATTATACTTACTTTTAAGGGCAATTTTTGTACAAAAAATTATGCAACCTGTAAACACTTAATCATTCTTCTGATTTGCTTAAATCAGCGGGCTAAAATATATCTCATCCCGGCAAGTTTATCATTTTAGCCCGAAAGATACACCGCGGCAATGCCAACCAAAGTTAATATAATAATTATAGTATAAATTATAATGTTAATAATCGTACATAAATTATTGACCTTAATACTTTCTAAGTGTGCTAAATGTTTTTTAAAGGCGTTCAATGACACAAGTCCTAAGAATTTTCGTCCTGATGTAGACGACGTTTTTTTGTTGCTATTGCTAAACAACGGAACATACGATGCTTTAAGAGATCAAAAAAAGCTCCTAAATGAATGCACGAAAATAAAAGACAAGAATGTCACCATCATTGGTTTAACTGGCGCTATTGCAGGCAAGAAAAAAATCTTCAAACTTCGTGTCGAACCATGGCCGTCATCAGAACGAGTGTTTGAAGTAAAATCAAACGCGTTGGAAAAAGTTTTAAATGAGACTGTCGAGGCTTCCTGCGCGTCATTTGGTAAGTTTTGGGGAAACTTTTTACATAAACTAGAGGTACATGCATGCAAAATCCCCTCGTCTGGAGCAATAAACATTCGGTGGCGGATCTAGAGTGTGCAGAATAAATTACAGAGCTTCGTTTTAAATTCAAAACACCTTGATAACAACGCTATTGGTCATAGATTTGAAAATAATGTTTTTACATTAAAATCTACCAATGCGATTCCGATTTTAGGCCTTACTAATTTATTCTGCATACCCCTAGATCCGCCACTGAATTAAACATATATTTCCAACACTGAAATTACATAATACTCGCTTCTGTCGAATGATAGAAGTCGTATAAGTAAAATCATATATCAAGTACATTTATAAAGTCGACTCACGAGCTATCAAACACAACTCTAGTCATATTTCTGCTACGAGTAGTTTTATAAATACTGCATTTTTTAGCGAAATTTCAATTCCTTTTTAAACAGATTCACCTTTAAAAATAAATGCTTTCCCAAACAAATAATTTTAACAAAATTGACGAATAAATTCAAAGACGTGAGATAGCCTACATTTGTTGATAAATCCACATATTGTATTTACAAAAAAATGCTTTGAACCTACCCATTTAGCTGTTCAAAAACATCCCAGAAATACTTCAAAATCGCAGATTTTTTACCATCCATTTCAATCAAAATTTTTCAATCCGAAGGCATCTTTCAGGCTCTCTCTTAATCCGAATTTAATGAGTCGATTTTTCGTATATTTTCTCTTGAAAATATTCTCATCCAAATGAAGATTTTCTCATCCAAATGAAGAATATTATTTAATTTTAAAAATGTTTTATAATTCAAAATTTCAATTATGCTGACGCGAACCAAAATTTTAATTCAACCATTCGCATCTTTGCAAACGTTTCCTAGTTACCAGTTTTAAGTCGTCTTAAACTCACGTATGCGCATAACTTACAAAAACGGCCAACGTCCATGACATAATTGCAGGTAACTTTTATTTCCCATTTGCATTCCCCGTCGGGCGTTATTAAAATTTCCGGGCCGAATTAGTACACTCGCCCGGTGCTTCGCACCGGCTCGGGGATTATACCAGAGAACAGTAGATCAAACAAATACAAATGTTTTCACATCCGTGGTTTACACAAGTTTCTATGTTCTGTCGCGGATAACGGAAGAACAGACAGCATAAGAGCATATCAGCCTGCTTTCCATGCATATACCCGTGATTAGGTCCGCTGTACGATAGGGCCTTGGGCATACTAAAGTTTTTATAACCAGAATTACTAGATTGTGGTTTAAACGGTTGGGAAATGCTTTATAAAAGGAAAGAGTACGCTCTGTTGTTTATGCTTAGATAGATATTTTACACGTTAATATATATTATGTCGATACCCGATATTCTTCATAATTATAATATATAATTGATAATACACAAAACGGACATTTGGTGCAGTAATTGGCGGTATTTATAGGTTACATTGTTAATTATAAGTATATTGCTTTGTATCGATTTACGAGTCGAAGCATCCACATCATTGACATAATATGCACCGCGGTTTATTTACATTATTTACCATACAAGTATTTTGGCTATTCTTTTGAAATGACAGATGAAATGTTGCCAGAGAAAATTGCGTCCGCTTTGCACCAGCAGTTAAAAGCCTAAAAAAGGTAATTTGATAATGACAATATCGCGACTAACGTAATTGACGTACACTTTGAGTAATTTCCTGTTTCATTAAGGGTAATGTTTAACCTAGTTATTTATGTTTTTACTGGCAGAAGTGAGTCATTAATTTTGGGAAAGAGGCCTGGTTGGTTATAGGTATTAGAGGGCTTTGAAACGTTTCACTATCTCTTTGGATCCCTAGTTATAAAATCATATGTAAACATATGGCAAGCCAAAGTGGACAAAAGTAGGTCGAGTATAGTATGCGATAGTCGAGTTGTGTATATGATAAGCGAGTACTGTATACAATAGTCGAGAATACACATACGAAGTGATCGAGATAAATGAACTATAATTGAGCTTTATGAACGATATTCGAAATTATTAACGACAATCGAGTTTTCTAGCGACAGCCGAGATTTTATATACGATAGTCGAGTTTTACGACGGTCATTTCGGTCAGCGGACACGATATATTTCTATGGGGTACTTTGTGTTAAGATAACCTAACCCAGTTACAATTATGCAGTAAATTGGACTAACCATTTCAAATGCATAGTTGGACACAATGGACACATTGTGTCTCAGACACATCTTAGGATATTTTCCTTTTGGCATTTCTGCAAACATTTTTCATAACATGTATGCGAAAATAGGTTAAAATAATACAATTAATAAAAAATTCCTGAGTGTGTGAAAAGGGTTTTCTTTGCTTAAACCTAAGTGGTAGAAACACACATGGAAATTCCTAAAATATTGTGTCTTTGTGATGTGTCACGATGAAATAGTTAGTAAACCTTCAGAAATTGCCTAAAATATTCAATATCTTAAGGTAATGATCTATTCCATTGTTACCATCATCTTGTAAAGGATCAACATGTTCTTGAAGATAAGAAACTTGGTCCTCTGTGAGTTCAAGATCAGAATGAGGCACAACAATGTTATTATCAGTGGTTATTTCAGGCAAAGGGCCACTGTAATCAATTCCGTAAGAGGTTTCACTGATCACAACTGGATCCTCTGGGCCATTTTGAATGTTGGTGTACCAGAGTGTCAATGGGGATTTGTGGTTAGCTGATCTTATTCCATGGTGATTCCACTGACTTTGAAACTCTGCTAAAGCTGAATTGATGCGTGGGAGGTACACATAATGAAGTGCATATAAATGGATTTCATTCAATGAATCTAGCAGTTCATTATTCTCTAAAAACTGGAAAAGGTCTTTGTAAAGTGCTGACAAAACCCTATTAACTTCAGCCCAGAGCCTTTCAATTCGCTGATTATGTACGCTTCTACCAGCGATGAAACTACCTCTCTCTATGCCTCTATTTTCCAACATAAAACGTGCCACATCAACATTTTATACACCTTGATCGCCCCTTACTCTGGATGGTAAACCAAACTTCTCAACTCCGGTTTGAAACAAGTGTAGTACAGTGTCAGCTTTATTGTTTAAACAGCAGTGTAAGTAGATCACTAATCGGCTAAAGCCATCTATGCAACCGTGAATGACAAATCGTTGGGAGATCAACTTGTGGTTTGAGTCTATGTGCCATAGGTGATTGGGACCTTTTACACTATACACACGGCGACAAATGGCATATCTTCTTCGTATGCTCCTCCCAATAGGATCAACACGGTGAATACTTTCCCTCACCCTTTCTCTTTGAACATGGATATGTCGCCCTTTCAAACCTCCCCTGACATAAGACTCACCACTATATGGTGTTAATTGTAGGATTTCTACAACATGTCTATCCAGATCACTGTCACTTATAGTGCAAAAATTTGACGTTAACCCAAACTCAGCTCTTCTTCTCTGCAATGTTTTCTCTGATATCCCTAGAAATCTTGAGATGGCATTCCAGTTCATACCTGCATCTCTTAATTGTTCAACGTGTTCCTTCTTTATGTCAAAAGCAGGTCTTCCTCCTGTGCTCGGCAACGTTGATGGTACATTAGTTAGATTTTCTGCTACTGATAGTTCCACTACTTCAGATAACTTTACTTGTTCATTTTCCATAGCAGACAACAATTCGGAAAGAAGCGCTGAAAGTGAAACGCCAGTCTGGCCAGAAAGAGCCGTTTCATTTTCACCTTCTGACACTGCCACAGCCATTGCAACAATTATAGCGCCATAATTTTATAATTTGCTTTTGCAATATTCAGCACCCACTGTATCTTTATTCAGATACGCTTGACTACAGTGTCTGAGAAGATTTTGAATACTTAAAAGAAAATTCCGCAGCTCTTCAACGTCCGCCATATTTGTCGCGTTTCCCGCCAAGAAAAAGCGGAAGAGTACAAGTCCGCTGACCGAAATGACCGTCGTAAAACTCGACTATCGTATATAAAATCTCGGCTGTCGCTAGAAAACTCGATTGTCGTTAATAATTTCGAATATCGTTCATAAAGCTCAATTATAGTTCATTTATCTCGATCATTTCGTATGTGTATTCTCGACTATTGTATACAGTACTCGCTTATCATATACACAACTCGACTATCGCATACTATACTCGACCTACTTTTGTCCACTTTGGCTTGCCATATAAACAAGTTTCTCAGCTCACACGGTGGATGAAAAGGAACACTTGCGCTTTAAAAATCCAGAATTCATTTGGCAATCCTGAGATGCCAGCATACCTCTTCAATGCAACCATTAAACAATCTATGGTGGTCACAAGAATTCAATCCTAAAGGAAGAAAGCTTGTGTAGTTAAAACAGCTGATTTTGGTTTTGTTGTTTTTTTAAATTAAACTTATGTTAAAAACTTTATAATAATGAATACATACGTAAGATAACATGCTTATATACAGGCAAATACGATGCCTCACCTAGTTACAGTAATCATGCATATCAAAGTATTTAGCAACATGAATATATATTACATGCTCCCTTTTCTAAAGAAATGAAAAACAAATAAACAAAAACCAAACCTTTTTTTACGTTTTGTCTTTCTTCATTGTTCCAGAATTAAATAATATATATCAAACTAAAAAGTAAAAACATTAAATTTTAAACTTAACTATACCATGTCAAACACATTACTCTGTGGATAATAAGTGTAGACCATTACTCTGTGGATAATAAGTGTAACATCAGGCCGAGACAGAAGAAGAGACAGCGAACAGTACGATGCAAATAAAAAGTTAAGAATGAGACTATGTGCACACGAGCGTCGTTTTCGCGCGTTTTCAAAATCGTTTTTATCTAGTCTATCGCTTTGACGCCCTGTCCACACTATCCAAAGGAAAATATTCTCAATATGTTAAATTAGCTTCAACTTCTATTGTTTTTTGACGATGTTTGAAACCGTTTTGGCATGAAAACGAAAATGAAAACGCTCGAAAACGTTACCGTGTGCACATAGTCTTAAATACAAGATGATGGAACTCCATTTTATACATGCGCAGCATGCATTGGGGCCATCCAAGCACAGGGTACCGTATTCGTATTCTACACCTCCCCCTAAGTATACGATAGCTATACTTCAATACGGATATATGCCTCAGAGTTCACTGTCCTAATTTAAATAGAAACTATGATAATAAATCTGTAATGAAATCAGTCAACTAAGTATCTAACTATTATAATTTAAAGTTTTAAATTTTTAAAGGTAATTCAATGTTTTCTTTATCGTCACTCTTCAAACGAAACATTTTCACAAATCTAGTCGCTTAAGTGGTCGAACAATCCTACCAGAACGTGTGGTGGTATAATAAGTGGATTGAGCTTCGGATGTCTTTAAACATGTTGAAGATGGTACACCCGGTTGGGTAGCAGGTGGTTCGAATTGTGGAGAAGTTTGCTGAGTGGCTCCATTACATTCTACTCCATGGTTTTCTTTCTTAATTGAGACTAAGGCGGACCGATTCCGCCTAAGAATTCCGGTATCCGCCTTCACAAGGTAGGATCTAGGGCACTCAGTAGGAGAAAGGATCTTGCCATGCTTACTTCGATCTTCAACCCAAACAAGGTCTCCACAGTCAAATGTTGGCAGTTCTCTAGCTCTATGTCTAAGGTTAAAGGTATTTGCTTGTGCCTTCCGGTACGATTCTTCTTTGAACACAACTCTCTCCAACTCGGACGTAAGATCTTTTGGTTTGAGTGCTGACGGGAGAACCGGTAGCTGTGTTTTAAATCGGCGGCCCATAAGGTGTTGGCTTGGTGACAAACCATTCTGCAGGGGTTTTGAGTGATACGATAGAAGCGCAAGATAAGGATCTTGGTTCTTCTTCGAAATTTCTTTCGCAGTACGCACTGCCCGCTCAGATTCGCTATTTGCTGGAGGATACCGAGACGAACTCGTTGTTTGTATAAAACCATAGGTTTTCGCGAAGTTTCTAAAGGCGTAAGAAGCATACTGAGGGCCATTGTCTAAAGTGATAACGTCTGGGATTCCGTGGGTGGCGAATATCTCCTTAAGGAAGCCGATAACATTTTCAGATGTCTGGTTTTGAAGTATTTTAATCTCTAGCCAACGCGAATAATAATCAACGACGATAAGGTATTGTTTTCCTTGAAAGTCAAAGATATCCGTACCAATCCGTTCTCATGGCCGCGATGGGCCATTTGGTCTTGTCTGACCTTTGCACAGGTATTACACTTAGAAACCATTTCTTGAACAGCAGTTGACAGACCTAGCCACCAAACTGAGTCGCGCGCGCTCTTGCTCTACTCTTAGTTATCCCAAGGTGACCAGTGTTGATGCAATTAAGGATGTCCAACCTCATGGCCATCGGAATAACAATTCGGCCGTCATACAACAAGAGATCCTCGACAACTGCTAGGTGACTTTGTGCTTCCCAATATGGTCGCATCCGTGGCTGATTGGGCATGTGTGTAGGCCAACCAGTTGCGCAATACTCCCGGATCAAAGAACATTCTCCATCTGCTTTCTGGATGCCCGTAGTTCCTGCAGGCGATTCGTAGTAACAGGTAAGGTACCCAACATCTTGCTCGCATAGCTTTCTACTTCTTCGACGAGGTAGTGATCATCGTCAACTGGGTTGCCAACAGGAGCACGGGACAATGCATCTGCTGCAAGCTGTTGTTTTCCAGAGACATGTACAACATGTGGGTTGAATCTCATAAGCCGCAACCGGAACCGCAGGATACGTGGGGGCATCTTACTCAACTCGGTCGTGTTCAAGAGTGTTGTCAGAGGTTTGTGATCTGTCTCCAGCGTAAACTGTAATCCAGTGATGTAATCTGAAAATCTCTCACAAGCCTGGGTCGCAGCTAAGGCTTCTTTCTCTATGACCGCATACCGCTTCTCTGTCTCCGATAGCGCTCGGGAAGCGCTCGGATCCCATCCTCCTGAATCTGGATAAGCACAGCGCTGATCCCGATAGCAGAGGTGTCTGCAGCAACTATGGTTTCCTTTGCTGAGTCGTAACGGGCAAGAACTTCCAAAGACATCAGAACTTCTTTTATTTGAAGGAATGCTGTTTGATGGGCTGCTTCCCATGCCCACTTAGCATCTTTGTGGAGAAGCTGTCGAAGAGGCTCATTGAGGTCTGCAAGCCGAGGAATAAACTTGCCAAAATGATTCACCATTCCCAAAAACCTTTGAAGCTCGGTTACATTCTTAGGAGTCGAGAACTTGGCAATTGCTATCGTTTTGTCCGGATCAATGTGGATGCCCAGATCATCAATCACATGTGCCAGAAACTTAATCGACTCTTTGCTAAACTCACATTTCTCATTCAGGGTCATTCCCACCTCTTGAATATGTGGAAGCACTGCACGTACTCTTTCATCGTGTTGCACATGATCCTTCCCACCAATCAAGACATCTTCCATTAGGCAGATTGTTCCATCGGTACCTTCCAGATTACCGAACATAGTCCTCTGAAATATCTCCGGAGCTGAACTGATACCAAATGGTAACCTGTTAAAGCAAAAATCTTCCAAATGGTGTTATAAATGTCGTCAAAAGTCTCGAGTGATTGTCCTGTGGGACCTGCCAGAACCCACTGTTTGCATCAAGCTTGAAAAAAACTTTACTCTGACCAAGCTTAGAAAGACTCTCATCTACAGATGGCATTGGGTGAACTTCCCGCTTAACCGCTTTATTTAACTGTGTGAGATCAACACAAATACGGAATTTACCACTTGGCTTCGGAACACAAACCATACCTGAGCACCATTCGGTAGGAACAGTCACACCTGAAATAACATTCTGCTTTAACATAGACTGTAACTCTGCCTCGACTTTGGGTAACATAGGATGGGGCACCTTCCTCGGATTGTATAGACAAACTGGGGTGGCATCATCACGCAATGTTATATGATGTTCCGTTTTTAACTTTTCCAACCCTCTAAATAATGTAGGAAATTCTTTGCGAAAATCAGGAGGTGACTGGGTAACTTCCCCTACACTGTTTAATTTGACAAGGCTCAATTGTACACAAACTTCCTTACTTAGTAGAAAGCAGGATTGATTCTGAATAGCATATAACAGCTCCTGGACTTCACACTGACCTAACTTAAATCATTGTAGCTATGAAAGTTCCTATGGCTTTGAGCTTGATTCCCCCCGGACCTTTAAGGGTTTTTTCGGGCTTGCTTAATTTTATACCCTTTAACCATGGAACTGAATCACTTAGCACACAAACAGAGGCACCAGTGTCTAGTTTAAACTTTGTTTTGTGACCATTCACATTTATTTTTGCAGACCGGGAATCATTACTTCCCCCGTTGACCTCTCCAAGAAGCAGGACTTGATCTACATTCGAGCTTTTAACTTCATGAAATGTTTTTGAAAAGGTTGACTTGCTTTGACAAACTGCTTGGTAGTGGCCATTTTTCTTACACTTATTACAAGTAACAGTCCTTGCTGGTCAAAATTTTCGATCATTTCTTTTATGACCACACCAATTACACTTCTCTCCAGGTTTCTTAGGTATTAGGGAATTAGAATTTTGTTTGTGATATCTCGCCTTGTTTTGAGCCCCCTTTCGGACATAATAAACATCATTAGACTTTGTAGTATCCCCTCTCACTACCTCTCTGTTATGTTTTCGTTCCTCTGCTTGGCGAGCAATTTGTACTGCCTCTTCCAAAGTAAGTTTTGATTTAGACTGTAGGCCGTCTGAGAGTGAATCATTTATGACCCTACAATAATTCTATATCTCTAATCAATTCGTTTTTTAATGTTCCATACTTACAATCTGCTGCAATCTTGTAGAGATCCTAAATAAACGTATCCATTGGTTCTCCAGGGCGTTGAACTCTCCGGTTGAAGCGAGCGCGTTCAACAAGAACGTTTCTTCTTTCAGAAAAGTGATTTCCAAGTGCTGCCTTGACTTCTTCATACGAATCTTTGTCCTCGACGATTTGTAGCGTTTTCAAGATATCATCAGCACATTCCCCCATCGTATACAGCAACTGACATAGATACTTGTTCAGCTTCTGTTTTATTACTAAGTCTCGAGGCAATTCTGTAGCGATCAAAACGGCGTATCCACTTCGGCCACAAGTCGGCTTGTTTTGAGCCGTTTCCCCCATCGAATTTCTCAGGCATTGGTATATTTGATGCCTGGGACATATTTCCTGTTGCATCGTCCATCATTTTGCTATATATCCCACCGCTGCCACCATGTAGTATCGAGCGGAGACAGAAGAAGAGACAGCGAACAGTACGATGCAAATATAATGTTAAGAATGAAATACAAGATGGTGGAACTCCATTTTATACATGCCCCAGCATGCATTGGGGCCATCCAACACAGGGTACCGTATTCGTATTCTACAATAAGGACTGTTTGTAACGTGATAAAATCCCGACTGTCGAGAAAACAGTTGGAATTCTTCACTCCAATACTGTGGACCATTGTCCAAATAGAGCACAACTGGAATTCCAAATCTTGAGAAAATTTTTTCAAGCTACTAATCGCGGGTCTTGAAGTCGTGTTCCCCAGCTTGACGCTTTCAAACCAATCCGAAAATGAATGGGTGACAACAAGGTACTCTGCCGT